ACCGACTTATATAGTAGCAGATACTAGAGTATAGTTCAATACTGACCTATCTAGTAGCAGATACTGGAGTTTATTTCAATACCGTCCTATTTAGTAGCAGATACTAGAGCATAGTTCAATACCGACCTATCTAGTAGCAGATACTAGAGCATAATTCAATACCGACTTATCTAGTAGCAGATACTAGAGTATAGTTCAATACCGACCTATCTAGTGCAAATATGTTTTTTCTTTTCACAGTCAAATCTTTATTATTACAATCGGAATTTGAAATGGTCGGTTTCGATATAGCATTAGTTTAATCCTTGCGGTGGACTTTCATCGGATTTTTAAATATCGATTTTTTAAAATTTATTCTTTTCTTCGGATAGTGGTCGCATATTAAAGTTCGGTTTTAATATATTTACAATGTAATCCTTGCTGTGGGTTGTTGGCCTCGTGTTATCTGGATTCATTAGATCAAGAATTTATCAAGCAATCACCTGCCAATACACCTCAGCTCTATACTCAACATATACCAGCTTGCATTTAATGCATTTTATTATTCTCCCCCCCCCCACACTCTTTATTATATTTACAATAATGATAGTATTAAACAATTCTCAAAAAATTATGTAAATCAGAATGCAAAGTGTCATTGATTTAAAAATCATTTAGGAATGATATCCCATCCAAGAAAAAACGTTTTACTGATCGCCTCATCAACCTTTGATATTATAAGCTTATCTCAATTTGTTCGAAGCTTGGAACTTTTGTCTCGGATACTCATAATACCGATCGCTATATCTTGATATCTATTGCGGGCACTTTTCAATGCTGAATCTCTCTATTTCAGTTATCCCTGTAGGTTACGATTATCATGCGGGATATCAAATTGAGACTAAATTAATCTGCAGATTAACAAAAGATCAATTTCAAGTCTTGATCTCGATATCCACAATACAAGAGTTTGATCCCAGCTCAGTTTATTCAAAATAATTTCTACTTCCCCAATTTTGAATTAAACTAGTATCTAATATCTTAATTTTATGGAGTTCACACTCAACCTTAATCCTTTTACAAACTCGTGTCTTGATTGGTCAGTATTTGGACCAATAAGAAGTCAGTATTTTCAAAAACGATCAATGAGAGGTCTGCAATTGTTAGCATCAACTGACTTTAACCAATGATTATTGTATACTCCTTGATTAAACAGTAAAGCAAATATTACATAGTTATAAAATGTATTTTATCTTCATCTCAATAATTGACTCTAAACTAGTATCTAATATCTCAATTTTATCGAGTTCAAACTCAACTTTAATCCTTTTATAAACTCGTGTCTTGATTGGTCAGTAATTGGACCAATAAGAAGTCAGTATTTTCAAAAACGATCAATGAGAGGTCAGCAATTGTTAGCATCAACTGACTTTAACCAATGATTATTGTATACTCCTTTATTAAACAGTAAAGCAAATATTACATAGTTATAAAATGTAGTTTATCTTCATCTCAATAATTGACTCTTATCAACTTTAATTGACTTATTACGTAATATCAAAAACTATAAACCTGTTCAAAATGACGTCAGTAAGGGTAAAACATGAACAAAAGATTTTAAATGCTCTTAAAAAACTATGTTTTCTAGTTTTTTTACAAAAAAACCTTAATCATTGTATTAAAAAGAAGGGTTTAAAACTTCTGTTATTAGAGAAATGGCACTACACATCAAAGCACATTGTAATATATTCTTTATCAATGTGTACGGTTATCTATGTTATCCATGCTAGTAATATAAATATAATAATTATCTGTATGTTGACCATGCCGGGCTATCCTGGTCAGTTTCGTTCACCTGTATATAAAAATAAATTAGTTCAATGAGATTTGTCGTTTAATACAGACGTATATATACCCTTGAGTTTTGGCTAAGGATAGAGAGCCGGTAGTTTGGCGAGAGATAGAGCCATTTAGATTCTAATTAGACTTTGAGTAGAGTTATCTTTACGTTATCTCGGATCTAGATTGTTTACAACATTAAGCGATTATTTTCTTAGACTATCTATCTATCTATTTATCAATCTATCTATCTATCTATCTATCTATCTATCTATCTATCTATAAAAGTTTAACAGTTCTAGTTCCAGTGTTTTCTTCTTCAGTTCATTTTTCTTCATCTTCATTCCTAGCTCATTCTATCTATCTATTTATCTATCTCTCTATCTTTCTTTCTATCTATCTATCTATCTATCTATCTATCTATCTATCTATCTATCTATCTATCTATCTATCTATCTATCTATCTATCTATCTATCTATATATCTATCTATCATATATCTGTGGTTTTTAGTATTGGTCAAGGCTCCTGGTATCTGATTAGAGAAAACCGTTGGAGCCAGTATAACTGTGCGTGGATCTATAGACAAAGTTAAATCAAAAGCATAAAATAGTTTTTATTCATTTTTTTCTTGTCCCTTTCTTGGTCACATTGCCAACTATCTTAATTTCGTGTTGGTTTATGGTTTTGATTAAAATTTGAATACATAGATTAAATTTCTCTATTGTATTCTTGTTCATGCAAAAAAAGTTTTAAAGATATTAACATAAATCATTTGGTTTAATATAAAATTTGTAAAAATATTGTATTTTGATGAATTAGTTAATTGTTTGATTCCGCTTTAATTTTATTTTTTAATTCAACTGTATCTGTATTTATGAAATAGGATAATTTTTTTTAGCTTTCTATCTATCTATCATCTTTATTCTAAAAGATGAAAATCCGTCTATTCAGATCTGTCTATCTAATCATTTACTCATCTATTTACCTATCCATTTAGTTAATTTTCTGTCTATTTATCCATCTCTCTATGTATTTATGTATCTATATCTTCTGTGGAAAAGAATAACTTCATATGACTATCTATCAATCCTAAATCATAATCAAACCTAACCTGAAATATCATAATCATGGGGAGTTGCCATTTTTTAGAAGAAGGGGTGTGGGGGGGATACAACAAAATAGGGAGAACGGGGCCTAAACTTCTCTCTTAATCTGTATTTAATCATCTATCTATCTATCTGACTAAATGTCTATCTATCTATCCTTGTGTGTATCTATTATGAATCTGAGAATATTAAATCTGATATCAAATAATTAATCAACATATCACGGTTGTAATCCAGAAGCTATTTAGCGGAGAACAAAAACATGAGGATTTTAGAATATTAAACTCATGACTCATGAAGTTTAATTATCAAATAATTGTACAGAAAGGATTAAAAATCAGAAACCCACACTCCGATACCTACATAAAGTGACGTAATTAATTTGACAGAATTCAACAGTTTTGTAAATTGAAAAACGACAATATTTTTCCCATTTTTACATCGATATTAAACATTTTAAAGATGCCAAAAATCAAACCAAGTCTTATGCACGTTCCACTTAACTAAAATAGCTACATGACTGGTAGGACTTTGAGACCTCGGAGCTCCAATAGTTTTGATTTTATGCACAAGTATGACAAAAGCAAATTGATTTGGTTATATATCAGAAATTCAAAAAAAAATTTCGCTATTATAGCTCTTTAATAGTAAGAATTATGATTGAAAACAATATAAAATATAAATTTTTTGTGCAATATACATTAGCTTGATATTGTTCAGCCTAAAACATATTTTCTGTTCAATCCACTTTGGAAATACAGGTGAAGTATCTTTATATATCTAAACATATCTAAACTAAGAGAATCTGGATCATTAACAAGGTTTTACTAACATTCCTTCCCTCACAATACGCTACCTAACATTCTTACTTACTTTTAGGAAGGTGATAGGAAATTGTGGGGGGGGGGATGAGGAGATTTTAAAAAATTATATCTTATTTTTGTTTGGAAAATTATTCATTGAATTCTTAGATTAGAAAAAAATCTACAAAAATCCCCCCAATCTTTCAACTTCAGACAATGTTAAAATGTTTTAGAGCATTTTTAAGCGAATTATATTTTAATTGGCCACACACATTCGTTGTGTTGTATAGACTTAACCGTTTTACTAAACATGATCTTTATGTACTGCTTTTACATAAACATTATGTTAATGTACTGCGTTTATATAACCATGATGTTAATGTACTGCTTTTACATTAACATGATCTTAATCTACTGCTTTTGAAGAAACATGATCTTTATGTATTGACTTTACACAAACAAGAACTTTAAGTACCCTTTTACATAAACATGATCTTAATCTACTGATTTTACATAAACATGATCTTTATGTACTGATTTAAGACAAACATGATCTTTATGTACTGTTTTTACATTAACATGATCTTTATGTACTGCTCTTAAACAAACATGCACTTTATGTACTGTTTTACACAAAACTATCTTAAAGTACTGAACTTACAAACATATAATCTTATTTTGTGCAATGTACAATGTACAATGCACAATGTACAATGTACAATGCACAATGTACAATGCACAATGTACAATGTACAATGCACAATGTACAATGCACAATGTACAATGTACAATGTAAATTATGGACAATCGCGCCCCTAACATTTTCTAAGAGAAGAAGAAGAAAAGAAGTTGAATATGAGAAGCAAAGTTTAGAAAAAAAGTGCAACATTTGAGAGCCACAATATAGAACAGAGTTGAATAGAATAGATTATGATAGCCTAGAGTAGAATAGAATAGAAAAGACAGGTTTGAATCAGATATAAAAACTTTAAGCTGATTGAAGGGTTGCCCGAGGTTCAGGTTTCAGAAAGCGTGGTATGCTGCGTACAGGTCACCAATACCACGTAGAACACCCCCCTCCACACTCCTACAGCTTAGCGCTAGAGTGTCCCCCATGACTGCGTAGAACAGGAATTTCTCCGAGTGCTCTACTGGACTGAGAACCAATAGGGCGCGTCTAGATTGTAGTGTGCGCCCCCTGCTGCGCGCCGGTATAGTGCGCAACCTCAAAGATGTTCATGTGTGATACATTATGGTCAGTCAGTCCCCCACTATGGAGACTGTTGTCCTATGTCCCGCTGATTTTAGTTTATGTCCCGCAACGATCTCACACGGGATCCTACCTTGCCGGGAGCTAAGTGTTTGGACATCTACTGAGGTAGACAAAGGTACACAGTTCCTACCATGGAAGGGAAGCGTCAAGGCGGAGATTCTTCCGCCCTTTCTCCGCCTTCCAGAATATGATCTCCGCCATAGGTTCGGCCTCCATGATGAGATCAAGGAGGACTCCGGACTCCCTGTCCGCCACTGTAACTGGGTTCGGTTCCTCCGATACTCCCTGGTTATGACACCAGAGGTCAACATCATAGGATCCAAGAATATTGCCGGAGAACCAGTCTTCGAGGTCATCCGTTCCCTTGAGCCAGGCAGTGAACTGGTCGCGTTCCTTGTTCCTGAATCTCCACAGGAACTGATGCTTCTGCCTGCAATACAGTTCCTGAGACAAACCTTGTTCAAAACCTATATAGAGAACGTACTCCATGAGAGTCCACTAGATCTCTCCAGGTCATTAATCAATCAATCATCTCCGTCTCCGGATATTAGTCAACACTCCATCAAATCAGAGAATACAGAGAGTGAAGGAAATATTTCAAGAGATACAATTTCTACAATTTCTCCGCCATTAAACCGGTTAAATGTAAACATAAACAATAACAAACTAAATCCCCCAAGAAGATCAAAAACAATGCTACCTTGTGATACATGTGGGAAAATATTTGACCGACCTAGCCTGCTGAAAAGACACATTAGAGTCCACACTGGAGAACGGCCTCATGTTTGTGATTTATGCAACAAAGGATTCTCAACAAGCAGTAGTTTAAACACGCACAGAAGGATCCATACCGGGGAGAAACCGCACAGATGTGAGGTGTGCGGAAAAACGTTTACAGCTTCCTCTAATCTTTACTATCACAAGATGACCCACATAAAGGTATTTAAAGAGCAATCTCACTTTATCCTTTACAGCCTCCTGCTATTCTATTTATTGGTTTAGTGTATACAAAACAAAAGCGAGAAATACAACAGCTAAACCTTTCATTCTTTAAATCATAATTTTGCAAGGATTTTGCACATTTATTGCTTCTCCCCTCAATGGGAGGTTTGCAAATTTATTGATGAACCATGACAAAATAAATGTTATGCTAAATTATAAGTGTCTACGTTTATAATACATAAAAAAGTAACCTTTACAATAAAATCTTGAGTTTTATTAACCATAAAACATTTAATATTTCATATTGGTTAAAACCTGTAATATATTATTTTAGGAGAAACCGCATAAATGTAATCTCTGTTCTAAATCCTTTCCAACTCCTGGAGATTTAAAATCCCACATGTACGTTCACACCGGTACATGGCCATACAAATGTGATATTTGTACACGAGGGTTTGGTAAATTAACAAACTTAAAGAACCACATGCATCAGCACGAGGCCGGAGGCAGGCTGGATGTAGAGGACGAAAGTTCGGAGGATATCCAGGATACACTGGATACACAGGATACATTGGATACACAGGATACACAGGATACAAGTCCTATCAAGGATTTTCTTCTAAATATGGTAAAAAGCCAGGTTGAGCAGCCCAGGATGGAAGAGAGTAAAACTATGGGTTTTCCAATCCTTTTCCGACCAATTAACATGTAGATTTACAATACGTCCTCATATACATCAGCTCATGTTTCTTCATTTGAAAAACGGCTTTATAAACAGTTTAAACAATCTTGTGAGAAAACATATTTAGAGCTCATGATATTGCAGGATTACAGCACTCAAATATCTGTGATTTAGTAGCAAAATATAAAAATTTGTCCTTAAAGGAGCCAATGATAATTCAAATAAACTGTGATTGAATAACTAGAATAAATATCATTATTGAAATTGTTAAATAATAAAATAAATTTTCATGTCTTTTTTCTTTTTGTTTTGTTTAGAATGTAGTAAATGATGTGTCAACCTTTATAGTGGAATTGCATGTTAGGACCGATAATTATTATTGTTTGTTTATGTTAATCAGTTTATGTTATACAGTATATGTTACTGGTACAGTTAAAGAAACTTAACATTTTGGTGGCTTACAAGTTTTAAGAATCTTGGTTCAAATCATTTCATTGATTTTAGTTAAACTATTTCAAATATTCAAAACTAAGGTTTGCTTTTATTTTCTGTTTTTTACAATAATTGGTTAATACTAATTATTTTTTTGGGTTTATTTTTATATGCATAAACTTATTAATGCTTCCATCTTATACTTTTAAAGATCAAAACAAAATATTGGGTTTTTCGCATTTCCTTCATCTTAAACCGGAACCCATTTAATCCTTTATCTGAGGAACAACTAAGAATGAGAAAGATATCGCCATTTTTCATCTTGAAAGGTGTTGAATTATCAAAATGTACTTTGTTGTTGAAAAACTATAGGATATTTCATTCATTAAAGGGTACCGTTGTGAATCGGATATGCTACTCAATACATGGAGATGTTAGGTATTTTCCCTAAACGTATTTCTCCAAGCGGTAGCTCCGCAAGAATCATAATCTTCAAAATATGTAATTTTCTTGCGGCAATTTCCCCATTCAGTTCTAGCCGCACAGCTCGGCTCCTAGCCCATCCTAGCCGCAGCACCGGGCCTCATTTGGGAAGTTGCCGCTTTTTTTTGAAAAGACTATTCAAAGATGAGCTAATCAGCTCAACTCATCTATAACAGATTAAATTCTGAAGTTGCCAGATTTGTATTTTTGCTGGCTTACTTTACTATTATAACTAAAAATTGTTTCCTTAACGAGAGTGTTTGCGAAAAATGAAAGTGGGTTTATCGACTATACACGAATGCGTCGAAAAATTATCGATGAGTATAATTTGTAATAGCTAAATGATTTGTTTGGAATTAAATGAGTGTTTTACGGTCCGAGTCGAATATTGAAACTTTCTGAATTTTTCATCTTTTAAACGCAACAGATAGAATAATTTTCGACGTAATTTGATACCCCTTTTATTTTTCGCGAACACCCCCTTTAAGATTAAACTGACCCTACTAGAGGTTTTATTGTACTTTATATGTGAAGATATAAAGTTGATGGATCATTAATTAGGCCCTGGCTGCGTGCCTAGATGTATATTGTATGTCCAGTCTAACTGCCTGAATAAAAACCTGGCAACTGCCTGAATGTCACATAAAACCTAGACCAGCACGTCCCAGTAGTATATTCTAAATAAGAAAACTGTCTCTACCAGATGCTAACAGTGAATTATAGAAGCTTTTGTCTTACAGCTTGCGTTATCTTTAAACCTAGACCTCTCCTTGGATACAATTTTCTAAACCTACACCTCTCCTTGGTACACTCTTCTAAACCTACACATCTCCTTGGTACAATTTTCTAAACCTAGACCTCCTCTTGGTACACTCTTCTAAACCTACACCTCTCCTTGGTACATTTTTCTAAACCTAGACCTCTCCTTGGTACTCTCACTAAACCTAGGCCTTTCCTTGGTACACTCTTCTAAACCTAGGCCTTTCCTTGGTACACTCTTCTAAACCTACACCTCTCCTTGGTACTCTCACTAAACCTAGGCCTTTCCTTGGTACACTCTTCTAAACCTACACCTCTCCTTGGTACTCTCACTAAACCTTGGCCTTTCCTTGGTACACTCTTCTAAACCTAGACCTCTCCTTGGATACACTCTTCTAAACCTAGGCCTTTCCTTGGTACACTCTGACAAACCTAAATTTCTCTCTAGTACACTTTTATAAACCTACACCTCACCTTGGTACACTCTTCTAAACCTTTTCCTCTCGTTGGTACACTCTTCTAAACCTACACCTCTTCTTGGATACACTCTTCTAAACCTAGACCTCTCCTTGGTACACTCTTCTAAACCTAGACTTTTCTTTGGTACACTCTTACAACCCTAAATTTCTCTCTAGTACATTTTTCTAAACCTAAACATCTCCCTTATGCGCTCTTCCAAACCTAGATAGATAGATAAATAGTATATGCAGAATACATAATACAGATATGGATGGTTTTCTGAAATATGGTTTACAAATACTGTTTATAAAGATAATTAGTCGATATATATGTATGTATATATGGTATAAAAACATAAAGGGTGAGAACAAATAGGCTGTATAGTGTAAAGTGTATATACATTATACATATACAGATCTATATTGAATTAAGACTGTATAGTACAGATGGACCGTATTGTATACAGATTGTATACAATTGGCTGTATAGTGTAAAGTGTATATACATTATACATATACAGATCTATATTGAATTAAGACTGTATAGTACAGATGGACCGTATTGTATACAGATTGTATACAATTGGCTGTATAGTGTAAAGTGTATATACATTATACATATACAGATCTATATTGTATTAAGACTGTATAGTACAGATGGACCGTATTGTATACAGATTGTATACAGCTAGACGGTATATGACAGTAACCACATATGATACAATATTAGGTCTCCAATCAACCAATAATACTGGTTCCCCCCGGCCCATCAACCTAGATCTTCAAGACATATGGTCAATCCAGGGACAGATAGATAACAAAATAGATGGAAGGATAGATAGATATATCTTGATAGATGGATAGATATAACAATATCAACTAATCATTTCCTCTGACAATTCTTCTGCAATCTTCAAGAATCAATTTCAAAATAGTATTACTGGAAGGTGTAAACCTTTTAAATCTTAAACTATTTGACTTTTTGATGTAACATAATATGTTTTAAAATATTAAAGGTTTACGCAATCAGGATGCAAAGGTATAGGCGTTAAAAGCTTAGAGTTAGAGTTCAATTCTTTTAAAGGGACGACCGGCTATGTAAGGTAGTTAAACTGAGTATCAGTGTTGTGGACTAATTCTCAAAAGATTCATTTGAGACATATTAAACTTTTTAAAGATCTGTAAATCCTCGGTTTGAGCGCAAAGTTGACGTTCAAAATCGTACTTTTGGGTGAATACGTTTAGGAATCGTTTTTTTTAATTATTAAATAACGACGACAAAAAATGTAAACAAAATTCTATAGTAAAATAATTAGTTGTTTAAGAACAGGTTGAGAAAATGAAAATTAATCTTTTCATTAAAAATAAGTAATCTTATTCAATTATTAGTTTCTATAATCTCTCTTTAATCACAAAGATTTTCAGCAGATTTTCTGGAATTTTTATTAAAAAGACGACATTTGAGGAATTTGAAGAAATCTGCGAACAAGATCATAGAAAATAAGAAATTCAATTTAATGATGAAAAAGGAAATAGTTAATTCTAACTTCGATTTATTTTAAGAAATATGTTCCTAAACACCTAATTAGTTTAATATAGAATTTTTACTACATTTTTCGTCGTCGTTATTTAAAAAAACAGATTCTGAAATCGTATTCACCCAAATTCATGATTTTGAACGTGGACTTTGCGCTGAAACTCAGTAATTGTACTTCGTGGAAACGTTTTATATGTCTCAAATAAGTCCTAAAGAATTTGTCCACAACACTGCATACTCAGTTTAACTACCTTACATAGCCGGTCTGTCCCTTTAAATACTGATTTAAAATCTAATCATTTAAAAGGAAAATAAAAAAATGTGTAGAAAAAAGTGCATTAGTTTTGCATAACAATTCAACTGAAAGATTAATTATTGTTATATAAAAAAGTTTTTCTTAATTATGAATTTCGTGATTGTAATTAATAGATTTCTTGAATTTTAAGAGTTGTGATGCATGAAAACTGGTTTGTTTAAACAACAAGGTATATTTCAAAATAGATATATATAAATAGTACAGTTCAAGCTAGCTACTAGCTGATCAATACTCTATCTATCTCTATCTATCTCTATCTATCTCTATCTATCTCTGTATATCTCTATATATCTCTATCTATCTCTGTATATCTCTATCTATCTCTATCTATCTCTGTATATCTCTATTTATCTCTATCTATCTCTGTATATCTCTATCTATCTCTATCTATCTCTGTATATCTCTATCTATCTCTATCTATCTCTATCTATCTCTATCTATCTCTGTATATCTCTATTTTCTCTATTTTCTAACTCTGTCTATTTCTATCTATCTGTTTATCGTTTTATCTATTAGCTATCTACAGTGGCATAGTAGAGTACAAGCTAGCTACTAGCAGATCATTTATATATATCTACTTAGCTATCTATATTTATCTATTTTACTATCAGCTATCTTTAGTGGAATGGTAGGGTACAAGCTAGCTACTAGCTGATCATTACTGTATTTAACTATTTATCTATCTCTATCTGTTTCTCTTCGGTGGAATGGTAGGGAACAAGCTAGCTACTAGCTGATCATTACTGTATTTAACTATTAATCTATCTCTATCTATTTGCTTTTCAGTGGAATGGTAGGGTACAAGCTAGCTACTAGCTGGTCATTACTGTATTTAACTATTTAACTATCACTATCTATTTCTCTCTTCGGTGGAATGCTAGGGTACAAGCTAGCTACTAGCTGATCATTACTGTATTTAACTATTTATCTATCTCTATCTATTTCTCTTCAGTGGAATGGTAGGGTACAAGCTAGCTACTAGCTGATCATTACTGTATTTAACTATTTATCTATCTCTATCTATTTCTCTTCA